CCGCCCACCAAACTCACACAGACAGGGGAGAGACATATGAGGATTAAACAGACAGGAAATGACAAACAACACAACAAAGGGGGAAGGAAGGGCTGCCATGATGTGAACTAGCATGATGTTAACTTAATTAAAAAAAGCATACAAGAGGATTAAAAAAAGATAGAGATAGATCAAGGTATCCCATTCTTCCAACTTTCCTTCAATCTTTTTATTTCTTGATTATGCGACCTGATGTCACATCAGCCAATATGTTTCACTTTCACAGGATTTCCTGAATCACGACATGACATTATAAACAGTCGTAAGTGTAGCTGACATTGAGTAGTTTTCATGGCCCACCCACGCTGAGAAATCTGTACGCTGACGATGTGAGCTTCTTCACGTAAAAGCCTCCGAAGCACAGCCTGTGATAAATATGGTTCATGACCATATGCTGACTCTCGCATTTCCATGGTCAGACCACTTCCTTTGAGCTTAACATATAAAGACAAGCGTGTGAACAGAACATCAACAACATTTCAAGATGCTCTACCTCAGGGGCTTCATTGTTTGTATCTGTTGTATCGTTCTCCTCATTGTCCAGTCAGGTGAGTTTTTAGAGTTATTAACGTCATCATAGCGTAGTCATTCTTGTAAACATGCAAAATGTAAAGTATTCAATATTATGTCGATATTACCATGCAGCCGGATTGGTGCTATGCTTGATTTTATTGATGCAATTACTGACTGATTCTGTGTTCTGTTTAAGGTCATGGCTCTGAGATTATTGATGGGAAAGAAGTGACGCCTCACTCACTGCCCTTCATGGCTCTGCTGAAGGACAAAACTCCCATCTGTGGAGGCATTCTGATCAGTCCAGTCTGGGTCCTGACTGCTGCCCACTGTGGAGAGTGAGAACAAGATGCTTTCATTTCAAAAATTGCTGAATCTCTGAATATTATTTTATATCATTTGTAATTAGTTATTTCAGACATTTTCCCCATTCAAACATTCTGTTGCGTGTGCTCTTAAAAATGAAAACCTTATCAGGGTTATAAACATGACGGGATAATGCTTAATTGTTGTGTCTGCTTTGTTTAATAACCTGTAAGCCGTTATATTCAGTGAACAGAAGCAGCTACTTGCAGGGCATTGAACATTTTGTGAGGGTTGCATTTAGAGAATCGGACTGACAGGCATAGTAATAACAGATATTTCTTTATTTACATCTGAACCTTTTTTTTTAGAGATGAACTTGGATATAATGTTGTTGTTTTTTTTGTTTTTTTGCAGCATCAAGGAAGTGTTGCTGGGGGTGCACTCCATCAATCAAGAGGAAAAGGACTCCAGGCAGGTGCAAGAGGTCAAGAGGTTTCCTCACCCCTGCTACGATGCGGATGATAACGTCAACGACCTCATGTTGCTCAAGGTAAGATGACACTGCAGTAACCGGTGGTTAATTTATAGCCTTGATTAAGAAAATATTCAACATTCTGCACTGGAAAGATATTCAAGGGGACTCAAGGGAACAAGATGTCAAGCAACTGCTGACTAAAAATATTGGTAATGGAAAGTCATACAGCGACTTTCGTGTCTGTGTTTTTAAGCCTATTGATTCTCACCAGTGATAAGCTGATCCTTTATCAGGCGGGTTTGTAGAGTGGTATATTATAACAATAACATTGCATGCATATGCTAAAATTGTGGTTATATTCTTATCGTACTTCTTGTTATACATTCTCACAAAGATTACTTTATCTTTTCTTTTTCTCTTGTTTTACTTTTAAGCACCTTTGTCATATTCTTACTGGGTTTTTTTTTGTTTGTTTTTTATTTAACCTTTATTTAACCAGCAAAGAAACTCACTGAGATTAAAAATATATTTTTCAAGAGTGTCCTGGCCAAGACAGGCAGCAACACATTAACAGAGTTTCACACAGACAACGAGCAGCCAAGCATTACAAAATACATTCGACATTAAAAGACATAAATAACAAATCCTCCTTTTTAATGTGCTTTACAAAAAAGCAACTTCTAATGAATAATTTTAACACTCAATGACATTTCTACTCTTACTGTACAGTAAAAAAAAAAAAAACTGACATTAAGGTCAGCATGGAGGAAAGTAAAGCACATTTAGTGTTGGTGAAAACCTTTTTTCAAACAGTAAAAAGCTACCATAAGTACAGACTTAAGCAAGACTGGAGCAAGATGCAATATAATGAATACTTTCTCATTTCAGCTGAAGAAACCAGTGAAGAAAACCAAAACGGTGCAATGGCATGAGTTGCGTAACAACATTAAAGCCCCAACTGCCGGCACCAAATGCCTCGTGGCTGGATGGGGGAAAACAAAGAACAATGCCAGGGGGGGATGTCCAATGTTCTGAAGGCCGTCAATGTGACCGTGATCGACAGAGAGAAGTGCAACTCGCCCAAATATTACAACCTCAAACCTTTTATCACCAGCAGCATGATATGTGCCGGCACAGACGGTAACAACAGCGCAGATACCTGTCAGGTAAGGATAGTAACAGCCTGTCAACACTATCTATAACTGCCATGCATGTGTCTTAAAACGACTTGTTTATTTCCTCTATAGGGGGATTCAGGAGGGCCAATATTGTGCAATGGACAGCTAATCGGAGTGACTTCTTTTGGAACAAAATGTGGCCTAAAGGAAAAGCCTGGAGTGTACTCCTTTCTCTCTGAAAAACATCTCAAATGGATCAAAAAGACCATGAAGAAGTCTGACATATAATCATAATTTATCTTGTTTTTCTCACCAAAGTTAACCACTGCCACTTGCCTGTCTGTCAACCTCCATTTTATTCTTATAGCTCTTCTATTTTACTTCTGCTTAATAGTTTTTTCTCTTAAGAGGAATTACAAGTGAATGTTTATCACAAATGGTTAAGACGTTTTTATTGCCTGTTTGCCAAAAATCAGCTAGCTAGCTACAGCTAAACAAAAACAAAAACATCCCGACAACAGTTGGCACTTTGGGCAGTAAAGGACCTGTTTATATCGTTAATGCAAGTCCAATTAGTAAATCTGCTGTCCTTACAGTATAAATGTAACTATCTATTTGGAGATGAAAGAGAGCACCAAAGTGGCACCTAACAAGTCAACAAAAGAGGCTCACTTTCTGATTAAAAAGACGTGGGTTTTTGTCATAAAGGTTCACTCTTTGGCATGTCTCATTATCTATTAATTATTGATGCATGTATATGGATGCAAGAAATCCCTATCAATGGCATTAAAGCAGCACCTTAAAGATCTGTGTTTCAATTTTCTTGTTTCAGTTTGTGTAAAAGCAATGTTCAAATAAAAAACTTTTGATGTCCCAGCTAATGGTTGTTGTTCTGGTGGATTATGCCATAAATGTTTCCTGCCTTACAGAATTGCAGCTATATCAACACGAGAGAAAGATCACGTAATGACTCTGACCGGACCACAATAGACAAATTCTCACGGCGTATCTTAAGACCCCACACAGGAAATGTGCAAAATGTCACAGTGTTGCACTATAGCCTTTGTGTATTATACACACACACACGCACACATACCTGCTTCCAGTAAAGGAAATGCTGACACAGCTACGATGATGCAGGTTATTCTTCAGTTTCTATGTCTCTTTTAATTCTATCAAAGTTTTTTAATATGTGAGCTCAAGGGACCCATTTGTGTTTCTGTAATATTTACTCCCTACCTAAGACTTTTGTGTGTAACTTCTATTCAAAAACCTGTGATGTAGGACATACCATTTGCACTCTTACTCAAACTACACCACCAGGTGGTGCTCTTTGCTCTTCTTGTTGCTGCAGTCATTCACACAGAGGAGATTAAACGCAACCTGAGATTCCATTATTTCATTCATTTAAAAATGACCAAAATTGACATTATTAGAAAAATGTAATTGATTGAATGTTGGGTTGTTTGTTTTAATCCAGCAGTTATACTTGCAATTCTCTACATGGGCTCCAAATTTAGAGTTATTCAATGAAATGGCACCAATTCTTCCTCACAATAAGACCTGACAGTACTACATACAAACACTGAGACCAAAACTGAAATGTTTACCACTTAAAAAAACATGTAACCATGCACAAGTGGTGTCCGTTCTCTTGGCTTGTGACCCATTTTTACTTGTTTTTCTTTTGTTGTTAAGATGCCCTAAGAGGTCCAATGTTGAATCTTTTCAAATGAAGAATAAATGTGTGTACCAGAAACATGTGTCCTAATCACCTAATCACCTTGTAGCATTGTGGGGTTAAAAATTGCCTTTGTGTGTTCCTTTATTATCATCTGACGAACATTTTATGACTGGATGAAGCCAATTTTTCTACAACCTAAAGATGCATTTGGAGAATTGGCCAAAAATGAATATCCTACATATATGTAACATCTCTTTGTTTGCAACTTAGGCTTGAAACTTTTTCTCCTTTGTTTTAAAGGAATTCAAAACAAGTTATAGGCTAAATCTTTTCAAACGACTAGCTACTTTCTATCTTCCTTAATATGTTGTTCAAATTGGAGCTACAAAACAACACAGCCATGCTCAGTGAGACATTTGTACAGTAAGCTAGAGGCAAACATATAGCAATTAAAAGTCAAATGCATTGATCTACTAAATTTCATCAAGCACATACTACAGCTCTACAGAATGATAGAAATGTCATTACTTCTGTGAGTCGTGGGTTGGACAAATTAAAGTTTGAAATAATGAAACCACTGGGGGAAAGGCCCTGATCCATTTAAAACATGTTGAGATATTACACTCAAACCCCAAAGTGTCAACAGCACGGCACTGGAAGATAAGTCATGTGATCACCTAAGTAGGGACAATGATTGCCTTTTGATAATTTCACTGCAATGCATCCATTATTAGTTTTTTAATGCATAAAGACTTTTACTGCAAAATGACAAGATAGTAGCAAGTATCTGAATAAAAATTAACTGGGATCATTCAAAAACAGATTTTCATGATTAACACCAGTTCTCACCTTGGCCCTCTTCTTGTGCCGTTTGTCTCAAATATGCCTGTAAGCATCAGACACAGATTCCAGGAGAACGTCGCACAGAGCGCAGGTGTACAATGCAGCAGGGTTGCTGTGGGATCTCTGAATCAATTTTTTTTTTTTTTTTTAAAAAGGATGAGAGTACAGAAATCAGACAACAGCTCCATTTCTAACACTTCACACGTGTTCTAAGAAAGCTGTACGTTAACTTAAACATTGTATTGCTGACTTACTCTCAGAAAGTACAACTTATGAGGTTAAGCAGTTATAAAATGATCTTATCACAGCAAATAGATATTTATATCAAAAGTCTGTCAATTTTTTTTTCTGTGTACCAAAAACATTGTCCCACATCCTGAGATGTCCTGTTTTTCTATCCAACAGTCCAAAGATTCAATAATAAACATTTACTGTAAACTTTTATCGAGAAAAATGACTTTTAAAAAGTGAGTTATTTGTTTTTCTTTCCATCAACTAATGAGTGTTTATAGCATCTCTGAAGTTACACAAAACTGATGTATTTGGGGTATGATGCTGCCCTCAGTGTGCTGTACCTTCTTTAGAGGGTAGATCTCTTCTTTGTTGAGACGCCTCTCTGCTTGCTGAAGGCTGCGCAGTTCTGTGGCTGAGAGTGTGGACTCTTCAAGGCCCCTATTCTCTTCAGCGAATGTTTTCTTCTTGTTTCTGTTTTTCCGTCTCCTCCCTTCGAAACGAAGACATACATGTGTCAGAAATATGCTCACAGTGTCTCACTGAAGAAACCGTTCGTCAATATTGTGTAAATGTCCTGGATGGTGGAGTATAGCTATTGTTACTGTCAGACTCAAGCTCGATTTGAAAATGCAGCATCACACATCCCTGTGATCAAGATCCAATTTGTCACTGTAGACAGACTGCTTCTCAATAGTCCTAAAGGTTGGGACAGTCTTAGAAGCGTAGAATCCTTACCTGATTTATTAGGTCCACCATCATTGTCCTCTCTCCTCCCCTGCTCCCTGTCCTCCCTTGGACCTTCCCCCTGGGTACTCCTTCCCCAGTGCTGCTGTGAACGCTCCCTCCAGTTATCCTCTCGACCTCCACCACTGCTCTCAGGACCAGAGTACCACCGCGGGTCATCTTTCTGCGAGGGGCTGTGACCTCCCCTGAATCCACCAGGGGAGAAACTCAGCCCTCCCTTCTTGGGGCTGGCCCGGTACGGCCCGCCATGATTCCTGCCCTGCTGACCTCCATCTGATCTGAAGCCTTGTCCTCTACCTTGGTCCTGGATCCTCCAGCTTTCTGCTTTCTCTGCACCGGCTCCCCTCTCCCAGCCGCCTTGCCTGGCCCGGTAAGGCCTGCCCGAGTTTTCCATAATTCACTTATGCTAAAACTGATTTTTAAAAACATCCCTTAATATGAAACTTGTAGAATGCAGTGTGCAAACTTGATTAGCTGCAGAGATACTGTCTTTGGAGGAGTAAACTACAGAAAGTTGCCTCTGAATTTTTTTTTAACTTATCATAAGTAACATTGTAAACACAGATATAAACAATCTTTTATGTCTAACTTTCTGATATATTCAATAAAAGCAAACCTGAACATTGTAGCAGGGGATGTTAATTTATGATCAGGGCAGACAAAACCCCTCATTAAGTTGATACAGGGTATCAATATAGGCTATCATTACATAACTCCAATGGAGTTGCCAGAGTTTAAAGCAATGTCCGGCTGCTTCTTCTTCATTCAATGCTTCATTTTTTAACACTCATGTTCTGAAGTATCAAACACAAAATCTGGACAACTCATTTAGTGAATCACAAACATAACAACATGTTTACAGATGCATTTTGAGGGTATTATTTGGGACATGGGATGTTTCTTTTTTAGAGAGGGAAGGTTATAGAACAAACTCTAGGCCTAAATAGTTTTATCAAACAAAAACTGTAAAAAGAAGAAAAGAAAAAGGAAAAAAGGCTGTCACAGTAGGACTTGCTAATTATATCCCAAATGATAGAAAAAAAAAAGTAGGCGACAACTGGGCATCTGTGTTTAATACACAAAATGAATAATTTAATCATATAACTAAATCAACATTTACTGGCCTAAAGGAAATTCAAAGTTTGTTGAGGAAAGTACCAACGGTGCTGTTCTGTCACTAAAAATATACATTTCTTAAAGTCATCCTTTTAAATAAATTGAACCACATACAGATCCCAATCACAATGACACGATGTAGCTACTTGTCATTTCTACAACAGTGTTTATGAAATAGAGCGCACAGCAGACGGATAGAGTTCTTTTGCCCACCTGTGAGGAACCTGAAGGCAGGGTCTGCCTCTGAGCCCATTATTTTGATCCTGCTGAAGAAAGGGAAAGTAACGCCGTAGGTGGACTTGGCGAATGCCTCGATGTCTCGGCTGGTCCCGGTCTCCGTGTCCCCGAACTGACCGCAGGGAAAGGACAGTCAAGGCGTTTTTCGGGGCGGATCAGAAGAAATGAGTCAAGTTAGATACAAAACACTGCGAGAATGCCGGTATCAACGTACTAATGGTTCTGACACAATAAAAGCAATGCTGCTCCTCAATATCACATGAGAAAATAGTAACCTACACATAGCCTATAATAAAAAAACAAATAGAAAAAAACAAAGGGCTATTGACCGTGCAGAATGGACCCTTTAAGAAAAACAAAATTAGACTTTTAAGATTCTGATTAATCTATACTGCCTGAGAGCTTCATCTCTAAAACAATGTCGTAGTTGAGTTTAAATGCACAACATAGGTATAGTAACTATTCGAGTGTATTTTTTAGTCTGTCTGTCCATCATAAAAGATAACTTGGACATCATTTGTATAACATTTTACTGCTTATGCAAGGGTGACATTAATCAAGCAAACATTTGAACACTACATAGATCAATTGCTTTGGGAAATCCTTCAAATAGGTTATGTACTGAAAGTGGTCAGTAGAGCCACATCTTTTTTCAGCCTTTCTTTGAAAGTGAACACAGGAAGTTTTACATCTTCATTTGCTTGCTTGACACTGTGAAGTTCCGTTTGAAGTTTGAAGATGTATTATGTAGAGCATTATGGGATAAACCAGAATTATGTTTATATTTTTTTTTGCTGAAACTATTCAATATATGATATATTATAATCAGTATTCCGTCCTCGCAGGAACAAAACAACAGCCATCGTGTTTCATACCAGCGTTTCAGGAGGAGGATTACCCGAAGGAGCAGCAGTGAGTGTCCCGCTGCCAGTACACCACTGACCACTGGGGGGCAGTGTGAGCCCAGCTTTGAGTTTGATACAGTCTGTCAGAGGCTGGTGTTGGACTCTCCTCAACCACAACACAAAGTCCTCCGGGGAAACCTTCAAGGTATTTAAACCAAACACACCACAGAGAAATGTAAAGGAGGCCGTGTCTGTGATAGTGAGCTCACCGACATAAAAGAAACATCATTGTAATCTCATCGAAACATGGGCGGTTCTAGGCAGGGGCCAACAGGGGCCAGTGCCCCTGTAACACTGAGCTTGGTTCCCCCTTTGGCCACCCCTCCAAAAGGAAGAGCAGTTTGCAGTCAGCAGAACTGGCCCCAGTTTGGCCCCCTCAGTAAAAGTGGTCTAGAACCACCACTGCATCCAAACTTTGCTGATTAAGGAATTACCCAAACTCTGCCAAATGCAGGACACTAAATTTCACGACAAAACAGTGAATCTTACCAAGTCTAACGATCTTATTTTTTAGACTAAAACCTCCAAATTTTGTATTAAGTTTATATGGATTAACAAGTGTTGTAATTTAGGTTATTTTGTTCTATTTTTTATTATTAGTTGTTTTTACCTAGCTATAAGACGTGTCTGTAAAACCTGTTCTAACAATGCACTGTAACAACACACTTTATAAACACAGTGTAACAACTCACTGTTACAACGCATTGCAGCAACAGTGTGACAACACACATGTTCTTCAGTATTTTCATTATAGATGACTGATGCTCCCACTTCCCTAGAATTCAAGGTGAAATATTTTAATTTAAATATATGCACGTTCTTCAACATTTTACTGAATTTCAGGTTAAAATGTGACACATGATAAAATAATAGATTACAATAAATGTGTTGCGTTTACAATTAAACATTTAAACTGCCCATGCAAAAAAACAAAACAGATTAACCCCATATAATGGTCGTAACATTTATTCGTGCATGTTTGAGAAGTGATTGGAAAATGAAGGTATAAATGAACATATCATACATTAGCAGAGGAATGAGTCTAATCTCCATAAGGGTACCAGCAACATCCCACATTTTTGTTGTATAGTAGACAGAACTATTATCTTACTCCGTTACTAAACAGCTGTATGAAAGATTCCCTTATCCTCAGATCTTCATGTCTATATTCCCTTATGTTACCTATACTATATCGGTCTGTCACTAAGTCACTGATTTGTAAACGTGATGTCATATGTGATATTATCCTGTCCCTATCAGAGACAGCAAAAACAGATGTGTCCACCTGCATCGCTGCTGCACCCACAGTACGCACTGTCACTTCTCATCTTGCCAAGGAAAATGCCCCACAACAGGTTTGTTTAAGGGACTTACCTTTATTATGGTGCAAAGATTTTTTTGTGTGTATGTCATCTTCCATTCAAGACAATAAAGAAAGAGGCTCTGCAAAGAGATTAGAAAAATTATTCAGGCCACTTTTTTGATAACACACAGTGTGAAAGAATGAATGTCCAAAAGAATGATTATTATCTGCAGGGTTGGGTGTGGAGAGATGCAGTTAAAGAACAGGGGATCTCTCAACAGGCTGGTAAAGGTAAAGAATGACTTTGTTTCTTTCTATAGAAGCACTCCTAATGCTTCAAGACACACACACACACACACACACACACACACACACACACACACACACACACATATGTAGAGCTGTACTGCATGATGTCATTCCAGGAAGTGAGAGTGTGACATATCATCAGAATGAAAAAAAATGTATGGCTTGATTGTGAGACTTTGTGTTTGTAATTTGTTTGAGTGTGTTTGAAATATATGTTTCATTTTCAGCCTCTGATGACAAACTACATGACTTGCAGCCGTTTGCTGTTCTGGAGAAAGCTTCTGTGAATCTGCAAGTAAAGGCTGTGATAAAGATGGCAGCACCAACGCTGATGAATGACTATTGTAAGAATGGATTCAAATCTGCATTATTCTCGTCCAAAAAGTTATTTTTATCCTTCAGCGTTTTAAGGATGTTGCTTAATTTGATGCAAAGACAAACACAACAGAAGGGCCGGACAGTTTCTTTAGCCTTTGTGTTAAACTATGTTGTCTGTGACACTGTCTCATTTACAAAATATAGTTGTATGTAATAAAACAGATGGACTCTGCAGCTTTCAGTTACTGCTAGTTAAACAGAAAGAGATCATGTATTTTAATGGGGGACTATTTGATGCAGATTGAGACGTGTTATGTGCTCTGGTGAGTTTTAAATAGCAGCAGAGCATCCATTGAAGGACAAAGTGTGTATAGGTTTAAAGCAAGTATCAATGAAAGTTACATTTTTGACTCATCAATTCCAACCAAGTGTCATGCTGCGCGATAGAGAATGACTCATGGCTACTCTAAAGATCTACCACTGAAGTCATGTTCTCAGTTTTGGGGGAAAGTATAAATTCTCTATGGTGGGTGTTTATGAACTAATTTTCTATGTTTAAACGTCAATCTATTACATTCACAACTTTAAGGCCAATAAAATAATACAAAATAAATTCACCAGTATTTAAATGCTCTGAGGAGAGTGCTTCAAATGGGATTGAAAGTTTCATGCTGGAAACATACGTTTGATTAAATGGTAATCTGATTTTACTTGTTGGCTTTGTAAAATCTTTGTAGATGGTTTTATGTTTTTATAAATTCTCAGTTTCTTGATGTTGCCTGATGAAGTCAAGTATTAATGTATTTATTATTCATGGTGTTTGTTGTTTCTATTGTCTGACTCTATGTGTCTGTGTGTCTTTTTGTTTCCTGTTTTCACCTGGCTACAAAACACATTTCCACTAGGGGACAATAAAGTTGAAGTTGAATCAGTCAGAAACCCCCTCCAACGATCCTGTTGTTTAAAAAAAATGAATGGAAACAGCTCATACTTCGGTTTTGAAGAGTGACCACAGCTTTGCTCTCAGTTCAGACTCATCCTGATTGACGCTGCTTGACTCATCAGGCACAGTATGGCTTGTAGTCCTTCTCTCTCTCTTCTATCTCTTCTCTTCAGACTCAAATGTACTCGACTGCAGTTGTAATGGTGTGATTGCATTAGCACTGGGCTCTTCTGTTTACCTTTGGAACTCAGAAACTCAGGCTCTGTTGGGATGTTTGTGCCCGAGTCCACAACCAGGACCTCTGCACCCTTCAGACTCAGTCCGTCTCGTCTCTGTGCTGGAGCAGAGACGGCAGATCTCTGTGCATCGGGACCAGGCGAGGGGAGATACAGGTAAACACTGTGGAGATTAAATGAGCAAAAGGAGAATGGAAACTGATTCATGGAAACTGAAGTTGGTGGGGGGGGGTTGTTCTAAGGAAGTGTATCACCTGTGGTTGAATCAGCAGGCTGATAGTTTGCGGTCTCTCTCTTTGACTCTTTAGTTGTGGGATGTTGAACAGAACCGAAGGGTGAGGTGTCTTCCTTCACACCTGTCTGTGGTCAGAGCTCTTTCCTGGAAGCAGCAGTTACTCAGCAGGTATGTGCTCTCACAAGAAAAAAAGCTTGTGCAGATTTTAGGTATAATTCATAGACCTATATTTAGCCATAGGGGTGTATCTCAGCCTCAGTGGGAAATGAAAATGCTGAAATTCAAAAGATGTACACAATTTAGACAACATAGTTTCAAGCTAATGGGGTAAACACAGGGCCAAACACTTGATGATTGAGGAACAATGCTAGATTTGTTGTCGAAATCCTTTGAAATATACGCAAAACCACATTACTGGCTTCTTGAATGAGTTGAAATAAGTATTTCATCCCTGGAAGAGACTACGGACAATCTGCAGACAAAGGTCAGATATTTGGAAGCAAGATTAAATCTCCATAGAGAAACTTTCCAAAAGGATCGGGCGCTTTAAAGTTCATTTTAATCTGTTAACTCAAGTCTCAAGACAATAGAGATCTTGCAGCTTATATAGACCGCCAATAGGGAAGATGTGTTTGTCCGGTGATTGTGGAGAATGATACATGTCAAGTTGCCTTCCTGAACAAACTGGCAGGCGTTGCAACATTTGTGTCCTAAAGCGTTGTCCTACAGTGCAGGAACAGACGTAGTGACTTCAGAATCTAGACGGGTTAAATTCTTTAGCAAAAGGAAATATAACAGGTATGATAAAGGGAATGACTGTATCAATATGTAGTGTGCAGTGTTTATACTGGTTGCTGACAGTTTACGAATTCTTCTAGCGGCTCTATTCTTGGACGTATCCATCACTTTGACCCTCGGGTTCCTGCACCTCTGGTTGGTGCAGCTGTGCAGCAGGACGGGATCTGCAGCCTGCAGTGGTCACCAGGAGACAACTTGCTGGCCAGTGGCTCCACAGAGGGCCTTCTCTGTATATGGGATAGTGACGTCGCAGGGTTCACAAGGTCACGTCGGCCAATAACTACAATGAAACATCCCTGCGCTGTAAAGGTCAGTGATTGATTCCAGATGAGTCCTTTAGGGATATAAACTGCAGCTACTTGAATTTGCACTCTATATCTATGGGTACTTTGGAAAGTTTGGAGAAAGTGAGTTAAGGGTCACTGACATAGTTGTAGTGTATAGGTACCTATGGTCATTCAGTGGGATAAGTTCTCAAGGGGCACTGAAGTGAACTCACAACTCTGCTTGTCAAATGCATTTTACTCTGTTGTTGACAAAGGGTGTTGACCTTTGACATGCTTAAAACTGCTTTTTTTGGTGAGGAAACAATTGGCAGCATACAGTATCATCCATTTTTCTGTTAAAATGAGCTGGCTCGTGTGTATTTGAATGACCTGTTACTGGTTGGTATGTCTAAGGGTTTTAGCTATATTTACACAGAGGTTTAAAATATAGTAAGTTGGGGCTCCAGTGGCCTCGAGGTTACTGTAGTTTACGCACCCCATGTTTAGAGGCTATAGTCCTCAATTTGAATATGAGCTGTAGCTCCTTTGCCGCATGTCATTCCCACTCTCTCTCTCTCTCTCTCTGGTTTTTGACTCTATTCACTTTCCTGTCTCTCAAAGGTATAAAAAAGCCCAACAATATATCTTTAAAAAGAGTAAGTTAAGTTGATTCTGACACTGTTCACGATGAGTTTTACTTTAATAATCAGCCATCTTATAGTTCATTGTGTTTGTGTGTGTAGGCGATGGGATGGTGTCCATGGCAGAGGAAGATGATTGCTACAGGAGGAGGATGGAAAGATGGAGAGTTAAGGATCTGGGACGCAGATTCTGCATCTTGTATTAGTTCTGTAAACACTAACTCACAGGTGCTAAAGGCTCACAAAGTTATAGTGTTGTTGTTTTTTTTTTACTGTTAATAAATATCTAATGTTTTTCTTTATGATTACAACTGCAGATCTGTTCTCTTCAATGGGCTGAGAAGAAGAGATGTCTGTTCACAGGTCACGGCCTTCCTCATCACCAAGTCACCTGCTGGACCTGGGAGTTTCCCTCCCTCAGACCGACCTTCCAGCTCACAGGTTAGAGAACCTGGAACACATTTATGTGCCACTACAGGCCTTAATCATCTCTGTGAATCACCTTCACTACAGCCTAGGGTTGTCCCGATACCAGAATTTTTAACTTCAATAAAATATTTGTAAAGATCTAAATAATAAAAATATTGACTAAAGTTTCAGTAGCACCCAATATGGGGTAATTCTTTTTAATTTTTTTCAACCAAAACTGTCAAGCAAACTTTTTCACATGTTTAAGTTTCAAAAATGTATTGGCCAATTTTCTGATCCAGAACACATTTGCCATTGAGACAGTTCTTGCTCTCTTTCATTTAAGGGACAAAAATATGAAACTTAAAATTGTGACAACCTCACTACAGCCTCATGGCACAAAATGGATTGCGTCATTGTTCATATAGCAGAATAAGTGTGTCAGTTGGACCACAGCTACAGCTCTGCCTTCGTTTATGACAAGGGTGTAAACCATGACTGTGTGATTACTCATTTATGTCCAGGCTTCAAAGTAAATGTGAAACTATGAGTTGAAACAAAACACAAGTCAAACATTTGAAATCAGACTTCTCAGTTTCCTGATGTATTGGGAATTGCTGTAGGCATAAATAACCAATATGTAAAAATAAATGTGTTCTGAAACCCTTTTAAGATTATTTACAAAAATGTTTGAGTTCATAAATCTTTGTCATTTCTTATGTATTCAGTTATATATTGCAGTTACTGTTATGTTGATTTGAGCTGAAAGATCAGGATGACTTAGTATTTAGATTCACTTCATCACATTTTGTATATTTATATTTGTAAATGTTGTTGATATTCAATGCTTCTACATAGCTTATTATTTCTTTAGATACTCTGCCCTTTGGTACTTATCACTTATATGTATTCTATATTTCTACTTCTATCCTATTGTTTTTAAGAGCAACTAACGACCAACCAATAATTTCAAATGTATAAACTCCTAAAACCTTTCTTTACAGTTGAGTGAATGAGCAATATTGCATTCAAATTGAAATTTAACAGTAAAAAAAAAAAAACACCTTATAGTCAGCTAAAGCAAGTCTTTCAAGGTAAGCACTAATGTAATAATGAATTGAAGTTGGTAAAACATTAATGCACTGAAAAATATCAAAAAGGTATTGCTCAAACTTGATTTTGTTTTTCTGTTTAGGGCATTCTCAGCGGGTCCTGCACTTGGCCTCAAACCCCGATAGTTCTCAGATTTTCTCTGCAGGAGCAGACCAACGCTTTCACATCTGGGACCTTTAATGATCAACATCACTCATTATCATGCTCTGTCAATGTTTAGTAGCTCAGTCTCTCAGTAATGTTGTTTTCAGAGGTTGCACATTTCCTGTCCCATTTTCTGAACTAACCACGGTGTGTCCTCGTCAAACAGAGTCAGAAACACACTTTTAGTTCCTTATTCATTCATTCAGTCCATATCATATGCGTGTTTGTTTTAGCTACTTTACAGAATTACTTTTTTATCAAACACGGCATGTCCTCTTGTCGAGGGGCCCTACAGATGACAAACGGATGAAGGGGCTACTTCAGGCTATAATAGAATTAGCCTACATTTACATCAGGAGAAGAGTTTAGACCCCCTAGATTAACATTTTCACATGACATTTGAGCATTAACAGTTTTTCTTCACACTGAATAATCTTACAAAGCCTCACATCACCAACACCACCCAGAGCAGTCAAATTATTATTTGATTTACATCCTACAAAGATAAAAGCAATCATTATTTTTTTTTCATATTGTTCCAATAAGTAGAATAGAATAGAATTACTTTATTGATCCCAAACTGGGAAATTGTGGCGTTACAGCAGCAGGTTATCCAACACACAATATGAGTAAAAAACACAATGTTAGCAAATCTAAACATAATATAATATTAAATACAAAGTAAATAAGTACTAAAAATATCAAAACTAAGAATGTGAATATATACAACCAGGGTTTAACTTAGCATTACTAGTCTTAAATAGGAAGATTAAATATGGAAGATTAAATGTAAATGTGCAAAAACAGAGTAGTAAATGGACAGTATTGACATAAGTTAAAGTGCATGAGTGTAGACATATAATAAGCAGAAACTATACAATATAACGGCGAGTAGACAGCCAAATGAAGTGAACATGAGTGCAGGGATAATTTGTAAATTTAACATGTGCAGAACAGATTACAGTATGGAGAGACGGATATTATCATGAAGACAGTTCTCTGCTCGCATGAGGTGAGCTGTTGTACAGAGTTATGGCCTTCAATAAGAAAGATTTCTTGTATCTGTCCTTGTGACAGCAGAGTTGTATCAGTCTGTTGGAGAAGCTGCTCCGCTGTTTGTCCAGTAGGGTGTGCAGAGGGTGCTCAGGATTATCCATAATGGATAACAGTTTGTTAAGAGTCCTCCTCTCTGTCACCACTACAAAAGAGTCCAGCTTGCAGCCTGTCACAGAGCAGGCCTTCTCAATGAGTTTGTCCAGTCTCTTAGTGTCACCAGCTCCAATGCTGCTCCCCCAGCAGACCACAGCAGAGAACAGTGCACTGGCCACAACAGACTGATAGAAGATCTCCAACATCTTG